GTATATATAAATTACAATAAACGAATTGTATCAGGGAATTAACTCAGTGGTAGAGTGTGTGCTTCGCATGTACAAAGTCGGGAGTTCAATCCTCTCATTCTCCAAGTTCATTTTTTTCCATGTCAGTGAAGTGTTTTTATTATTATTAATGATTATAATTGGCAATCTCGACAAGTCATAGCCTTCTGATTTAGACAAGTCAAACATCTTGGCAGTTTTCGGGTTTGAGTGGAAAATTGGGGTTCATTTTAGAATTGATGAACCAATATCCCATACAAAGTGGTCTATCTGACCCGAATGCTTTATGTACAATTCTAGGATAGACCTGAAATGGAATCTTATAAACTAATTGAAAACGTAGCGGTAATTCCAAACAAATCGGTTGTATACTTCCTGAGATAGGATTTATACCACTAACGGTACAAATTGGAGATGCCAATTTGTACCGTAGTAGTACAAATTGTATCTCGTGAAGTATCCAACCGATTTGTCGGAAATTAATGCTGTGTCTCTAACTTGTTTATTAGAGTAGATTTCATGTCTAAAAACTTTGAAAACTCTGATAATATGGGAAGATCATCTATCCTTTTTTTTAGGAGCGTACATGGGAAATTTGGTACACATTTTTACAGGTAAAAAAAAAATCAGAACCAAAAAATTCATCTCAAAAAGGATGTTTGGCTTGTCAACCAAGAAGGCTACGGACAAGTGGAGTTTTAGACGTGCTTTTATATTCCGCAAATCAAATTTATCCTGTAGTGAAGGGTAAATTAGAAACACTACGGAGTCGAGTATGAAATGCAAGACTCCATAAGTTCTTCTTGCACCTTCCGAAATATATAGAAACTTTCTGACAAAATTTCGCGAACCGGGAATTGAACCCGGGTCTTCCGCGTGACAGGCGGAGATACTAGCCACTATACTATTCACGTCATGACTGAAGTTGATATTGTTTAATATATATAAACAAGCTTTGGTTATACGCGAATCAAATCCATTTTGTAGTACAAGGTAAGCGAGTAAATACTATGGAGTCGAGTATGAAATGCGGGCCTCCAGAAGATCTTCTTGCACCTGCAGACATTTATGAAGACTAATAAATATATATATATATATATATACACATATATATATATATATATATTTATATATATTTATAT